ACAAAAAGGAGTTTTAATTCCCTTTGACTACTTTCTTTAGTGGTCAAAATGTTCTGTTGTGTCCTTCCAACTTTATTTATTGGTGGAAAACACACAGTTTGGACTGAAATTACACCTTGTGTTGTTGCTTATTTTCACTTGATTCGGCACTATAGTGTTGTGATTTTAACACTATGGGGTCTATTCACTAAGCTGCCGAGGGCAGCCAAGTGAATGACCGGTCTGAAGTGAAGTGAGCCGAACACTGTTCGGCTATTCACTTCAGGCTGGTACGGCTGATTTCAGCCGTACATTGGCTGAAATCAGCCGTACATCAGCTTGCTTCGTGTGGCTTCGGGTGTGCAGAAGGAGTTCGACTCAGCCGATCCAACATCTGGATCAGCTGAGCCGAACCTCCGGCAGGCTTCTCACTGCTGTTCGGGCTATTCTTAAAGATGCCGAACAGCAGTGAGTGAATAGCCTAATGCCGCTGAGCGGCATTCGGCTTGGCTGTTCTGCTCGGTCCCTCAGAGGGACCAAGCAGAACAGAAAAAGAGTGATAAAAGTTAAAAAAAAAGTAAATAGAAAATGATTGTGCAGAGCTAACAGTGACAGCTAGCTCCGCCCAATAGTTTCCTATTGTCAGGCGGTTCTGCTGCTGTAAAAAAAAAAAAAGAAAAAAAAAACTCTCCCGGGTGCTCTGGGAGCCTCCCGCTCCTGGCTGCCCAGGAGAGAAACACTTCTGTGTCTTTTTTCTTTATTCTGACACGTGTCAGAATACAAAAATAAAAATAGTCCGAGGGGGTCCTGGGGCGGAAGCTAGCCGAAGGATCAGCCGGAGCTACGGCCAGATCCTTCAGCAGCTTCGTGAATAGACCCCTCTATGTTGTTTTGAATGCGATTGTGGTTACCTAATACCACTTGATTTTGCACTATCTTTGTTATCAGCACAATTGCAGTGTATAGTGAATGTTTTTGCACACACTCAGTGCACACTTATATATATTTTTTTTACTATTGAGTATATGCTTCAGAATGGTCACATTACTGTGCCTGTAATGCAACCCCCAACAGCCAAAAAAAATCTGATTGGTCAGAGAACATTCACATGTCCGAATTAGTTTTGTTTGAAAAAAATATGGCCAGCTCAGAATTTTCGTTAATCGAGCTTTTAGATTCGTTTCCATTTGGACGCATTCTAATTCAGAAATTAGGATGCATCCGAATGTCTGAATTTGACGAAATTATTACGAATATCCATTCGAAGTGAAACAAAATGTTCAAGTCTAGCCCTCATTATCATTGCAAGCAATACTAAACACAAAATCCTATGGTTACTATTGCTCTTTATTTGTTCTTCTTGACCTGTCCCCAGCTTTTAACACATCTGATGACTCATTGCTACTCTGTACTTTCTTCCTTAGCCATTTCCTGTATCAATGCCCCAACAGGCATGAGGTAACTAAAATGCTAGCATATGTCTTCATCATATCCCAGCCTCTATATTATATTGTATCACCTACTTGGTAATGAACAGACTAATTCATTTTTAACCCTGAATACTGCTGCTTGACTCATCTACCTCAGATGATGCTTCGTAATGTTGATCCTCCAAATGACTTCCATTTACACAGTTTAAAATATTATTTCAGACCTACAAAACCAGCTCAAAATTGACATCTCTATACAGTACTCAGCAATTACTTTTTCATAGCTTCAACAGCAACTGTAGGGCTATTTTTAGATAAATGTTTAAAAGGGGGCACTTGACAGGAGCCTCTGTCTATTTCCAAGCATCCTTCAAATGCTGTGATTGATTAATGTACTGACTAAATCAGTTCAGTACACCGAGTAGTTGCTGGGCAGTACATAGCGGCGGGATGGATTAAATGCCTTGGCAGGCTATTCACTTTTATGGGTTTATGTTAGCATTCTGACTGTAACCGAACATTAAACTGACTGTAACCTCAAAATGAGAGATTTAAAGTTCACCTGTTCAGGCATGCATTTGTTCAGTCTCTGATCTACTACTGCTTTTTCCTCCATGTTCTGACAATGAAGACACATTCACTACATACTGTACATTATTCACTTATTCCTGTAAATCTTTTCTTTATCCCTCATTCCTTTTGTTTTTATTCTTGCAAGGAAGCAAGCTCTCTTTTACTGTATTTTGTTTTGCTTTTCAATTTTATGTCTTGTTAAAATATTTTTTTGCCATATTAGTATTATAAAACATTGTTTATATCAGCTACACTGTGGAAGGTCATAGAAAATAATAGTGCCATGTAAATGAATAGGCATGAGGTTCAGATTCACTGTTACAATGGGTCACAGGCAAATCCTGCAGGTTTGAGATTGGCAGTCCTGTCAAATTTATGTGCAGGGCATGCATTTGTGGACATGCCCAAAAAGAGGGTGCAACAAATAAGGTGGATGTTGTTTAACAGTTTGTATGCCACCTTTCCACTTTGCTTTGCTATGGTTTAGTGGGAGTCTTGCAATGCATAATGGTATTACTAGTTGCTGCTGGAGGGCCGGAGTTGGCCTACTCCTGGTTTAGACAGAATAGGGCTTGTGGGTAGTTTTAGTGAACTTTTTTAAAAAGGGGGAAAGACAAGGAAAAAGTAAGAGGGAAATAAAGAGAGAGAGAGCGGCCTGACTCAGATGTGGCTGAACTCTGCATCTGGACATCCAGTATTTATGCGGTCAGAGAATGCCCTTGACTGTCCCTTGAGGCAATCCTTCTGTGCCCAGGGCTAGTCAAAGGCCCTAATCACATGTCACATGCAAACAGCGGCTGCCCTGGCCATTGATTTGTACAGATGCAAATCTCGATGGTGCTGCTGATCACACATATTGTCCATGGGGCCAATGTTTCTCTGCCTCTAAGAATCACAGTTAGAATAAGGCCTAAGATAGAGAATGAAGGGGAGAAAAATAAACAGAATGTACACAACATGGAAAAGACAGAGAGGGGAATTTATCAAAACCGGAACAGACAAAATCTGGAGCAGCTGTGCACTGCAACCAATCAGCATCTCTCTCTCATTTTCAAATCTTAACTAAACAAACTGAAGAGAGAAGCTGATTGGGTGCCATAGGCAACTGCTGCAGATTTTGTTAAAGCTGTAACAACATTGTTTAAACTTTGCTTATTTTCTAATGCAACTAAATAACACCCAGCTAAAAATTCAGAAGAAAGCCACAAAATGATTCCAGAAAAGAGTTGGTTTATAAAGGAATGCACAGAACAAAACATTAGATGTCTATAGCTGTAATAAAGATGTTTTACTGCCGTTATCTGCAATCCAATAAAGGAAGCACATTCCCTGGCAATCTTCTTCCATTGACCCATGCTGCTGCTCTCTATTTATCTTTCTGTCTTCCCTCTGACTAGAACCTAAACAGCCTAGAGTGTTAACCTCCATGCTCCCTGCTAGTGTCAGACAGTGCTTACCTGGCTTGTCTCTGAGTCCTACTTTGAGGGACATCGGTCTTCTTTCGAGCAGAAGTTCAGACTTCTTCTTGGCTAGTTGCAAATACAGCACTAGTGAAAGGTGTATATAACTTACAAATTATGCAGCGCCCGCAACATGTAATGTGTTGAATGTCATAAACCCTAAAATTAATTAAATATAAGTATAAAATAATTCTAATAAATAGATATAATAAATATAAGTGATTCAGATCAATAAATTATATTCATATAGCATACACATGAATATTCAGTGCCTTCAAGATCTTTTTTTATAAGAAAAAACCATCAATGGCCCTGGATCATTGATCCCACAGGGTATGTGAAATAATTAGTGACAACTACCAAAAATTGTTAGTTGATGTGATGTGTCAAGATCCA